GACTGCAGATCCGATTCCCGGGGCTGCCACTTTCCTATTAAACCCCCCTCAGTTAGGGAGCACATCCAAGGTTGTTAACACAGATTAATTGTTCCTGCCCGCGTGCTCGTCAATAATCTTGTCATAATCAGGAATAATTAAGGAATAATATAGAGGAGTGGTTACCTCCATTAGGCTTGTGTGAAAAATTCATCTTGGTTCCACTTACACCAGAATTTATGCATTCTGCACATCCCAAAACAAAGCACAACCTGAGGTCGAAGCGTGTATATTTCTGTATTTCTCTATATCTCTGTATATTTCTGAGCTTGCAATGCCAATACTGTACAATAGTGTACACATGGGTACGCATACGTATAAAAGGTCTCCAAATTATACACAGGTCTGAAGCATGCATGCGAAAGATAAGTGCTTTGAAAAATGTGCCCAGGCCTGCATTGATTAACAGAAGGAAATGCACTTATTTTAAATCTGTTCGCAACTGGTGCGTATCTTGGGAGTCACTGCACTCAGCAATGAGTACCAGTTTTCATGCAAGTAAGGAAAAAGCATGCCATCCAATACGGACCTAGACTGTGGCAAGCTTCAAGGCAAAATTTGGAGGACCGAGCTGGCTGCTTCATGTGCCCATCTAATTCAAATTTGATATTCTGGAATCATGGGTCAGGCTCATCTTTGAGAGGCAGGAAAGGGTGCGATTTGGTTCATCGGATTAACAGAAGGCATGGCGTTGTGGCGCACGGGGTGCCAATCTTTTACCACCAAGAGCTCGCTTTGCTTTCCTTCCCAGTTTCAGCACTCACTGGGTGCACGACTCTTTAAGTCATGTAACCCCCAATCCTCTCCAAACAGAGGGCAGAGTGAAAATATACTGATATAGACACAGAGCCCTCCTAACTTGGTTTCAGAAATCTCGGTGCTCAGTGATTCATATTCCAAAAATAAACTCTGTCCTGAGAGTTCTCTCTCCCAATCGCATGTATTCATAAGCACACTGTTGTTTGGCACTCTGGCACTCTGCACATGTTCAAAGACATACTTTTGCTTGCCCGGTTTTTCAGTCCCAGCATTTGAAACAGCTGGGATAAGAGTGAGAAAATAACCAACCAGGTTTTTTTTCCTTATTTTGTTACGTTTGGTACAAAAAGAAGGCAGTGCCTCTAGACTTTTATTTATTGTGTGTGTGTGTGTGTGTGTGTGTGTGAATATATATTTATTTACCTATATATGCAAATATATATTTATTTACATATATATGTAAATAAAACTTGCTTCTCTTGAAAGCAGGGAAGTTTTTGGATGAATATGCTTATTTATGTTTCTTTTTAAATTTATGTTTCAGTTTAAAATGTGATAATAACTGCTATCATTATAGTTATTGGTATTATCACACCTTAAATGCTATTTTTGGGGAGAAAAATTGGGCTAGAATAACCATAAACAGAAGCCACAAAAACTCACTGAGGGGTTGAGCAGAGGTTGACTGTGGGCTGTTGCTGGGAATCCGGTTATCGTGTTGTCTGCATCCAGCTGAGAAAATAAACCATGGATGGGTGCACAACCTACAGCCCCCAACCCACCCACCCATGGTTTCTCCTGATGGGTTGTTTGTGGTTCCCACACCAAATCTGGGTTCCCATGGCTGTTTCCACAGCACGGAGGTTTTTGCATGAGCCGATGGATCTCACCACCCAGCGGCTCCCTTGGCCGTGGGATTCCCTCCACCCTCCCGGCCCCACCGTGCATCCGCACAGCCCCACAGCCAGGCCCTGCCTTTCCCCTCCTCTTGCCAATGGCCTGAGGTGGGCTCCCCCCCTCCAGGAACCCCTCCAGCCGCTGCCACGGCGTTGCCACACTGCCCCTCTCCGCCCCGCGTGTATTTTCACGCTGCCCCTCTGCCCCCAAAAGCAGGCAAGAGGGCAGACGCCTTGCTTGGCCGCTGGAAGTCCACAAGCCAAGGCACATCTGTTGCTAAGGGACCGAAGCCGTGGAGGTCGGGGCTGCAAGCCGCCACTTCCTCGGCCGCGCTGCCCGGGGTGGGGGGGGACGTGGTGGCGTTTCCATAACAACCGTGCCAAATGGCATCCCAGGTCCCGGCAACCGGAGAGGCCGCTGTGCCGCGGGGAACAGAGGGTTTCATGAAACAAATCCTGCCTCGCAGGGTCTCCAGAAGAGGGTCTGGACGACATGACAGACCCCCAACAGTGGGAAGTGAGCAGGGTGGCTCGGGTCGGGGGACCCACCCCAAGTCCTGCTGGCGCAGCTGGGCTCAGACGGCCCCGCAGCCCCCGTTCAACCCACGTCTGGCCCGGTCTGAGTCCAGCCCATGTGCGACTGCCGGAGAAAGCGCCTTCTCCCCGTTACAGCGCCCTGTTTGCGGAAGTCACGCCCCAGGGAGGGCGCCTGGCCAGAGCCTGTGACCATTTTGGAGCATCCCGTCGAACGCTTCCTGTTTGCCCACCCATTTTGAGTTGTTCGCTCTGCCTCTTGGAGCCTTCCTGCCTTCGAAGGCCGCGTTGTTTGTACTGCATCTCTGCAGGCTCACCAGCCAGTTTTGCCTGTATTTATTGCTCACCTCCCTGCTTATGTTTTGATGGAGGGCTACTTAAAAATAGCCAAAATCTCCTTGCTCTTCCTGAAGGAAATGGAGAGTTACAATAATAGAAATGTTCTAATAATAAAAAAATAATAATAACACACAGATTTTTTAACAGATGCCAGAACCTGACATCTTGACTTCAAAATAATGTGGGACTATAGCCTTTTCTCAGGGCTAATAGAAGCCTTTTGGGAGTTGTAGTCCAACAAATCTGGAAGACACCACCTTGGGGAGGCCTAGTTGCATGCCTGTCTACTCAAAAGTTCTAAATTTTGGCCCATGAGAACTGGAATCTTGTTTTCTTTTTAGTGGAACGACCATAATTCTATGGCAGAAAAGAGCTTTGTCTTTCTCGTGCAAAAGGTCACATGTTCAACTTTAAGGAACTGATGAGAACTCAGTTTGTTTTCTAAGACTTACCAGAATATGCAGGTGTGTGTATGTGTTGAGTAAAATTAGCTCAGGACTGAAATCGGAGTATGTGTCCAACTAGGCCCAGGGCTTTGAGTACTTACCACTTTAAATTCTGGGTTTGGAATCCTGCCTATGCATGCTGATTCAGGGTGGCCACCTTGTTTTTCTGACAGGTGTCTCATCATTGATAGCTATATGGCAGGCCCCAAATCTCAGGTAGTCCCTGTGTTCCACAGCCTTGCTCTCCGGAAGCACTTGCAGAAACAAAAGTCCAGGGGCTCTCATGATCTCCGATCCCCCTGCAGGGGTGGGTATCTTGCCCGCGTGTGCTGGAAACTTTCTGCCAGAGTATTTTTACTGAAATCAAATGCCCCCTCTCCCCTGTCCCTACCCCTTTTTGACAAACAGGGGTGTCCCTTTTAAAGACACACCGGGAGAGAGGTCAGAGCACATCTGAATCAGCACGTGCAAATTCGTGCAATCTTTTGCTGGATCTTTGTGGTACCTACTGCTGGCCCTGTTTGGTACCTAGCAGCATCCGTCCAGGCAGGTACCACATGGTCCCCATTTGGGCAGGGCTATGCATCCACTCTGGATGACAAGGAACCATCCGCGCTGCTGAGCCGCAGCCCCCAAAGTTCCACAGTGGAGAAAAGGTAACCCTGAATGCTGGGTACAGCAGTATCTGTTGAACTGAGCAGGGAATTTTGTTTCAGCCTGGGGGTGTCGGCAAAGACCAGCATGTACAAACGCCTTTGTATATGTGAGAGAAAGAAGTTCAGGTTTTATAGTTACAAGTCTGTGTGCATTTATTAGATTTATATCCCACCTTTTCCCTACAAAGAACTTAAACTGGCTTACAACATTCTCCTCCTCCCAATCTTACGCTCACAACAACAACCCTGTGAAGTAGGCTGGGTTGAGAGTCTGTGGCTGGCCCAAAGTCACCCCGTTGGCTCGAGTGAGGACGCGAACCCAGGTCGCCTGAGTCCCAGTCCTGTGCTCTTCACCACGACACCACCCTGGCTCTCATAACCCATCCGTCCTGTGTCCAAACTCCAAGAGGGACTGGGAGGGACAAAACCCCTCCCAAGACATTGGCAAGGCACTGCCAGCCCGTGTCGGCCGTGCTGAGTGCAAAGGACCAGTGGCTTGACTTAGGCTGGCAGCCTCCCACCCGCAGGTGTAACAGGGATGCCGAAGCCGTCTGCAAAAGGTTCAAAGCAGCGTTGATTTCATCGGAAATGCCTTCAAGGTCACACGTACGCCGCAGAATTGCAACGCGGTTCTGTTTGTACTTTTCGGGGAGTTTGTGCAAATGGGGTCTTTGGGCCTTCTCCCTTAACCTGTCCAGCCACTGAGGTCACCAGATGGAATCCTCCCGGGGGCACGACATGGACCTCCAGCCAACTGGAGCCCCCGCAGAGCCTTGGCTGAGGCGGCCCCTTTCCGTGCCACCCCCGCCTTTGAAGGTCAGCCTTGCACCGTAATGCCTTCAGCATCTTCTGAACACCCTTTTAATTTAGGAAGCCTTTGAAATCTAACCACCCATGTTGTAACCAATACTGATCTTGTTTTTAACATTTTGTTCTATTTATTTTATTCTTTATTGTTCACTGATCCAAAATCCCCTCAGCGGAGCATGGAGCAATATTTAAATCTTGCAAAACAACCAATGGATAATGTCTCAGTGCCACAGCACAAGCAGAACAACATCCTCATGTTTCCCTAAAAATTAAAATTAAAAAATCCAATCCTGTCAAGAGCACATGATGGGACAGAGAACACATGATAGTCCATAAAATGCAGATGAAGCAGATCTAACAAAATCCTACCTGTAACCAACCAGTTCCTCTAAAAATGTTCACCTTGCAAGTCTGTTCAACTCTGGCCAGTTTTGGCCTCTTTCTGACCTCATTCCTGATCGATTTTTCTTCTGGCCTGTTTTTTCCCTCTCTTCTGCCCTCTCTCACCCACCTCCATCCAGGTGTTTTGGTACCAAGTGCGCTGGCTGTGCGCAGGGCATCTCTCCCAGCGACCTGGTCAGGAGAGCCAGGAATAAAGTGTTTCATTTGAACTGTTTCACCTGCATGATGTGCAACAAGCAACTCTCCACTGGCGAGGAACTTTATATCATCGACGAGAACAAGTTTGTCTGCAAAGAAGATTACCTGAGCAACAGCAACACTGCCAAAGAGAACAGTTTGCACTCAGGTAAGGACCCACCTGCATTCACAGCACAGCAGGGAAAGGAAATGCCCCTCCTGGCAGATTGTTCTTGGCTTGGTCCAAATCAAAAGCCGGGCTGGGTGGGTATGGGAGAGAGAACTTCCCACTGCAAATTAAGTGTCCAAAAAGCGCTGGAAAATTTTGGCACTGCCTTTTGAGAAGCTGGCCTTCAGCTTAAATCAGGGGTGGGCAGACATTAGATTTCGCTCTCTGCTTTGCACGAAACCAGTGAGGATTTCTGCCCCTTCGTTGACGAAGAGAAGGGTTCGTAGGGGCTCCTTGCAGAAAAAAGGGGGGATATTACAGATCATGACGAGAATGAGCATAAGGGTAAGTGAGACACATTCCTGGGTACAACGTGATGTCTGTGGGTGTCAGCACATGCTCTGTGTACCCACCAGACTTCCTAAGATCGCTGGTGTTTATTTCTTAAGAGTTTTGACAAGTGGAAGCTGTTTGTTTTCTTGGAGGCTAGCATGCTGCTAAGGAGGTACCCCATCCCACCCCCGCCTAGCACTGTATTTAGCACCAAGTTTTGAACCTTTGCGTTCTGACCCTACCTGGCCTAGTTTCCTGGGCAAGTCGTTTTTTTAATTTGGCCTGGCCTTCTGGGAATGTGTTGCGAGCCTTCGTGCCCACCCTATTGGCTATTCTATCAATGCATACCCCCCCCCACAAACTGCTATTTTGTGAGAGCGCCCCAGAGCCTCTTTCCGAATTCCGGATTTCCCCAGTGGCCCTGATAACAGACATTGGTGTTGTTTAAGGCAAAATTCAAGACTTCCAGGTTTTATTTCTGAGTCTGCCCCAAAATGCTAGAATCCATGTGAGATGATGCCTTCTCCCTCAGAAGCAGATTAAAGATGAGGTTACTTTCTTTAGTTTCAGGTATGTGAGTCCTTTGCTCTCCTGCTTCAAAATTATCCAAGCAGGCCAAAATAATTTCTTAAAAGAATTCGGTGTAGATCTCTGCCCTGAGGTGCTTACAGTCTAAACTGTCATAGTGGTAGAAAGAGGAGAAGTGGAAGGAACTCAGCAAGTTTCTCTACACCATTATCAGCTCTGGGAAGAGTCTTTCCTTGTCTATGAGACAGTTATTAACAGTAAAATTAACTCAAAAGCATACTGCTGAATAAACGCCTTTGGATCTAGACCAGGGAGAGTTTTTCTTCCTGGCAGGGCAGGGATGGGGAAACGCTTGCTCTCCAGAGGTCGCTGAATTTCAGCTCCCATATTTCCCAGTCAACATTCAAGGAAGATGGGGGTTGTGGTTCCACGACATCTGGAAGACCCCCAATCCCAACTTAGCACGCCATCCTGTCTCCTCAAATGTAAGCCCTACTTAGTTCAGTGGGATTAACCTCCAGGAACGCTGTGTAGGGTTTGTCAGCTGAACTGGTTCATGATGCAGGCCCAAGGCGATCTACGTGATTCTTGCACATTTACTCAAGTGTAAGCTCCGTGGTTTGTACCAAGGATCATGTGACCCTGTGCACACTGCACTGAACTAAGCCCCGTTGTTCAACAGGGCAAGCGAGTCTGTCCTGACCTATTAACTTCAGTGAGTCCAACAAAACCTGGGCACATCCTGCTCTTTCCTTCGTCTTCAAAGCTGGGGCATCTCAGGGACCCCGCTTTGTTATCTGGGGAGGGGAGAACAGAGAAGCTCTCCTGCAAACGGGAATCAAAGGCTCCACGGGCAGAGGGGAAATGGCAGAATCACAGGCAAATATTTGAAGTGATGGCTCGTACCTGATTAGACGGGCCCATTCTGTTTTGATTTGCTGGCTGTCAAAGTATCCTGAGGCTGAGAAGATCAGAGGCAGAGGAAAGGGCAAAGCAGTTTGCTATCCACACTTGGCCACCAACTGAGGGGCGTAGGAGCCAGAGAGCGGCTGGAGAGCCCTTCCTTTCAAACCCCTCTTTGCAGGAAGAGGAACTGGTAAATTCGAACCTTGGGTTTTACATTTTTAAGTGTCGGGAGAGATCAGAGGCACACACCTTCCGAGGAAGAAACGGACAGACACGTGCTTTGCATCAAAGTTTTCGGAGGGGGTGTTGATGTTTCTGGGAGGCCTGGAATTGTTTGGCCAGGCAGCCCTGCGAGGGGGGTGGGTGTCTGGGCTGGTTTCACACCCTTGTGTCACCCACCATGTGTAAAGTGTGGAGGCTTTTTGGGTGGGGGGGCAGAGGAAGAGGGAGGGTGAGACGGCACCAATTTTCACTTCGGCATGAGAAATCGTTAACACAATTTTGCCCTCCCTGAGTATTAAAAAAAAAGCGTGGGGTGGGGTGGGGGGGCTGAAAAGGGTTTTCTTGCAAACAAAGGGAAAACCACCACGGGGCATAATCCAGTCCAAGCCCATGGCTGGACCGTTGATGTCCATGAGAGGCGAGGGAGCGAGGGCGGTCCCAGTGATGCCAATGACTCCTGGACCCACGTCCCTGGGACCAAGTCCCACTAAACTCGGCAGTGCTGCTTTGCTTCTGGTCAGAAGATTATGGGATGGCCTTGCCTGGTACCAACTGGGATTGGCAACTGCTTGGGGGAGGCAGCCGTTGGTGTCGACTAGTCCCGGCGGCCGCATGCTAACTCCAGTCTCAGAGGCTGGGGAACATGGGCAGCGGTGTTCTGCCCTGTCAGACTTGTCGCCTGCTCGTGCCGCTTCCCGCCTGGGCGACCAGAGCGCTGGTCCCTGGGCCTGATCCCGCAGGGCTCCTGCTGCAACTGCGGGTCCCGTGCCGGCTGGCTCCACAGGAGGAAGCCCCACTGGCGAGCCGCTTGGGATAGCGACCTCCTGGGCCCCTGGGCTCTTGGCCGCCCTGCGCAAGCACACAGATGTGTGTTCACAAAGGCTACACACCGCCGCTTGGTAGTGAGCCCCACTGCTCGCAGCTCTGGAGGTGTCGCTCCCCTCCATAGGAGCAGGGTCGGGGGGCAGGCCAGTAGCAGGAGTGTCCCTGGCTTTCGGCTGCATGTTTCCGCAGGCCCCGGGAGGGAGTCGCGCCAGCCCTCCTTTGGGGCCGGGTGTGAAAACCAGGGTGACCTCAATTATTCCAAGAGCAGAGGGAGGGTCATCTTGCATGTGGGAAAAGGAAGGGGAAAGCTCGAACGGCAAACTCGGGGCTGCTTTCTGCTTGTGTTTACTCGCAAGGAAGCCACACTTTACCTACAAGAAACACAGAGAAGTGAAATGGACTGGCTTACTCCTCCCTCGATGAGGCCAAGCATGGGGGGCAGTGGGCACTTTGGAATTTTGAGAGGGTGTTGAGGGGGCTCTCACAAAATGGCTGCCAAGGAGCGGGGCCTGGCCATTCATAAAACAGCTGCCCTGCTGGGAGGGGCCATTCAGCAAGCATTCCTTTCCCAGAAGGCAAAGTCCGGAGAAGAGCAAGAGGGAGACGGAAAGAATGATCCAATGGCTGCCTGGATAGCATATTATGGGATACTTCTGCTTCCCAAACCCAGGGTCCAAAGAAGAGCTCCTCCCTTGGAGCTTATGGGTCTGCCCTCCAACCCTTTCCCCGTCTGTCCCAAAAGCTGCCCTGGGAGCAACGGCACTGGCCGCCTCCCCAAAATTGGGAATTCGGCCTCTGGAAGGGCTTAGTGGGGTATTCCAGGAGGCAGGAGCGGGAGGAGGGTCTTCCTGGCGTCCCCCTTTGCATCTCCCGGAGGGGCAGCCATAAACAAAAGTCCGGAGAAAACACGGAGTGGAGGAACCTGCTCTTCGCCTCCCCAGCAAGGCTCTGAGCTCAGGGGCTGGCAAGCGTCTGGGCTGGGCGGCAACCGAAACGGAAACTCCCTTGCCCACGAGCCGAAGCATAAGGAGGGGAGGGTGTGGCACACGCCAGGAGGAATGGTGCGTGCGCGTTGCGGGGGACAGAACCTCGCCTTGGCGTGTTACATGCGTGTGGGGTTTTCCTTCCGCTCCAGCCACCACGGGCAGCGACCCCAGCCTGTCTCCAGACTCCCAAGATCCCTGCCAAGACGACGCCAAGGACTCGGAGTGCGCCAACGTGTCCGACAAGGAGGTGGGCAGCAACGAGAACGACGACCAAAACCTGGGGGCCAAGCGGAGGGGCCCCCGCACCACCATCAAGGCCAAGCAGCTGGAGACCCTCAAGGCCGCCTTCGCCGCCACCCCCAAGCCCACCCGGCACATCCGCGAGCAGCTGGCGCAGGAAACCGGCCTCAACATGCGCGTCATCCAGGTACGAATGCCGGGCCTGTGAGGCAGGAGACCCCGGGCAAGTCCTGCCGGGGCAACGGATCCCGAGGATGTGGCGTCCCGGGTGCACCGAGCGCCTTGCGGCCTTGGGGAGCCTGGCCCGTGTGGGCCCCCCGCGTGGGCGGTTGCTTTTTCCGGAGTCAGGCCTTGGGGCCATGCAGGCCAGTGCTGCCAACATGGCCGGCAGTGGTGGCACTCCAGGATTGCAGGCGGGAGCTTTTCCTACGCAAAACGCAGAGTGTTCTCAGACCTCAAGGAGTTTCCGGTTTGTTGCCCCTGAGGAGAGGGAAAACGCAGCAATGGGGCCGTGGCGATTCGTGGTTTCGTGGGCATTGGTTTCGCCTTCATTTTGTCTGTGCTGCCGGGGAGCCCCCGAGATTGCGACGGCCAGCTAGCAAACGTTCCTACTTGGCAAGCATTTGAACTCGGGTCTCCCCGGCCTGCCTCTCACTGTTTTGGTGCCATGTCTTTAGACAGGACTCATGCGGAAGAGCTAGGGACAGAGCCAGCCTGGCACAGGGCCGAGGATGCTGGGCTCAGGCAATCCGGGTTCAAGTCCCTGCTTGACCACGAAGCTCACGCGCTGGCTGCAGACTCGCAGCCTGACCTGCTGCTGGGTCCAAGCAGGGGCCCTTCTGCTCTGGCAGCCTGTTCACATGGCGGCCAGACAGACGCCGGCGGGACTCTCCCAAGCGAAGCACTCTCCTGCCCAAGTTCCCCAGTATGTAGGCGCCCTGCCTTTGACCGCAGAGGTGGCATGTGTCTGTCAGGACCACTTGCCTTCGGTAGCCTTATCCCCTGTGAACTGGCCTAACCCCATTTTGAAGCCTTCCAAACTGAGGGCCAACCAGCTCTCCCATCGCGTGCAAGTAATCCCAGAATTTATCACCCTGTGGTTTGAAGAGGCCCTTCCTTTTATGCACCTAAGATCTCCCACCCCTCAGCTTCATGGGATGACCATGTGAAGTTCTAGATTTAGAGGGGGAAAATGTGGTGTAGTGGTTAAGAGCGTGGGACTGGGACTCAGGCGATCTGCATTCTAGTCCCGGCTCAGCCATGGAGCCCACTGGGTGACTTTGGGCCAGTCACAGACTCTCAGCCCAACCTACCTCACAGGGTTGTTGTGGGGATAAGATGGAGGAGGAGATTGATGTAAGCTGCCTTGAGCCCTTTGTAGGAAAAAGGCAGGATATAAATCCAAAAATAAATAAAAATAAATAAATGGACCGGACTACAGCTTTCATCACCACCACGGGCCATGCTGACTGGGGATAGTGGGGTTATAGAATCATAGAGAGGCAGAGCTGGAAGGGGCCAAGAAGGCCATCAGGACCAACCCCCTGCTGTTGCAGGTCTCCAGTTTATACCACCCCACTCACTGGGTAAGATCCAACGCTCAACCCCCCTTCGTAGTCACCTGGGAGCCGCCCGTTTGGAGAGAGCTTGGAAAGGAGAGGGGTGGTGCCGGGAGGGCAGTACAGGCCCTGGGAACCAGCGCTGGGGAGATGCCGCTGGGGTTCTGCTGCATGCAGAGCCGTGGCCCTCCTCGAGCGGCAGTCCGCTCTCAGTGGGGTTCTCCTCTCAGCCCCTAAGCGATCCCTGGAAGGGAGACGGCTTCCCCCATGCTCATGTCCAGCTCCTGCAGGCAGACAACCCCACAGATGGAAGGACCCCGAGAGTTAGACACATGCACTGCAGAAGCACTTTCTGCCTTGCCTCCGGGTGTGGTGTGGCAAAATATTTAAAAGTGTAGGGCAGAGGTGGGGAAGCCACGGCCTTCCCCATGTTGCAATGGGACTGCAATTCCCATCAGCCCTATCTTGCCCAGCCCAGTTGTGGAGGCATCTCTGGAGACCTTGTCTTGGTGACCTCGATGTGGATTCTCCCCATCCCTTGACTTAAAAATGGATTTCACACTTGTTAACAAAGAGGGATGCTATGAAATATCGAGGCGGGCTCTCATTTTTCAAGAAAACGGCTTAAATAACCTTTATAAAGCAGGGGAAAGATTGGAGTACTTTTAATGGGTGAGGAGGAGGAGAGAAAAGTTTCTGTATAAATCTGAGGACAGCATGCATGGAATTAACACACATCTATGGAATGCGCTCCCCAGAGAGGTCCGCCTGGCGCCGTCATTATATGTTTTTCGGCGCCAGGATAAGACCTTTTTATTTCATCAATATTTTAATAAGTTTTAATAAGGTATTTTTAATATTATATTTTAACTGCAGCCAGAGTGGGTCGATTTGTTTATGTTGTTGACACTTTGTTATAATTTATTTATATTGATATTTGTATATCATTATGTAAGCCATCCTGAGGCTTTTGCAATAGGACGGCATATAAATATCACAAATAAATAAATAAATTGCATGCGCATGATTAGATGCAGGCGAACATCAGAGATGGGGTCAGAAACTGGTCCATCTGGTGGATCAAGGTGATGATGGAATGAATGAGCCACGGTTCCACCCACCCCAAACCTTCATTTGAGGTGTTGAACATGGGGGTGGAACATGGGTGGGTGGCTACCTATTAGGGATTAAGTGATCCTTGATGTTTGTTCCCACTCTGGGATCATATTTTTTTATTTTATTTATTTAAAACATTTTTATGCCGCCCCCTTGCAACAAGCCTCGGGGCGGCTTACAAAACAAGTAAAATAAATAAATACTGAATAAAGTTTAAAAACCAGATACATCTTGGCAGGTGTATAATAAATAAAAAATTACAACACTTAACAATTAAAATATCGTTTGAATAAAAACGTCTTGGCCTGGTGCCGAAAAGCAAATAATGACGGCGCCAGGCAGACCTCTCTGGGGAGCGCATTCCATAGGTGGGAAGCCACCACAGAGAAGGCCCTCCTCCGGGTACTCACCCTCCTAATATCTTTCACGGAGGGCTCCCGGAGAAGGCCCTCTGCCGCCGATCTCAGGGGGCGGGAGGGCATATATGGACCTTTAGATAACTTTAGATAACTAGGTCCCAAGCCACTGAGGGCTTTATAGATGACAACCAACACCTTGAATTGGGTCCGGACTTCAATGGGAAGCCAGTGAAATGATGTTCACCGTCCACAGTCCAGATTTGTCTGGGGAGATGGCCATTCACCGTCCCCCCGCTCTGGTCCTCCAAGCACTTTCCTGGACTTGACACTTGTAATTCTCAGTGTATGTCTTTTGTACCAGGTCTCGGTTAATGCCTAGGAGGTTCTGCTAGAAAGAAAAGTTAGATAACGTGTGGCAGAATTCGAAGCAGCATGAGGTCATCAGGGGAATGCTGGGCATGAGAGAGAGAGAGATGGCATGCTCTCCTACTTATACCAAATACCATCCAGCCCGTCTGACTTATATTTATCTCTCTCGAGCTTGTTCCCCTTGTGCAAGGAGCTTGGTTCAGCTAGGATGTGAACACGCCCCTTCCCTTGCGCACTGCAATGGGATCACCCACCTCCAGCCAGTGCCAGAAAAACCCCTCCCAGCTGAGCTGCGGTAAATCCCATCCGGTCTGATGGGATTTGTACCGCGTTTCCAGACACCTTCCCAGAAGGGAAATCCCATTTGCACTCAGGCAAATCCCCTTCTGATGAAGCCCGCACGGGAAGGGTTGGGGTGCCGGCGTTGTGTGTGACCCGTGGCCCCTCTTGAAGTGGAGGGGTGTCCGTCGCATGGGTGGAAACAGGCCTTGCGCAGAAGCACCGGAGCCCGGGGCAAGACTAGTGCCGGAAAGATCTGTGGCACAGGGGGGAAATGCACAAATTGGCACATCCTGATTTAGGGATGCTGTAAAGGGTGTTTGTGTGTGTCCTGCTTTTTTTTTTTTAAAGGACCTTACCTCTTAACAACGCCCCTATTTGTAAAAAGAGAGGCTTGGATGCAGGGAGGAAGTTACATCATTTTGGAAGACTCCCTCAGCAGAAAGATTTGGGAGGCAGGCAACCAAGCATGTGGGCCCAAAGCCGAATTATCCAGGGAAGGGGGCTCTGATACCACAGAGATCCTCAGCGCCCCTGTGCCTTTACTTCCGCAAGTGCTCCTGGACAGCAGAGGGGTGGGGCAAAGGGCTTCCCCAAGATTTGGGGCTCCAGCCCCTGTGGGCTGCCCCGAATCTTGACTCTCTTCATGTTGGATGTGCCAGAGAGTGAATACAATGCGCCACCATCTGTCTGCAACAGTGGCCCATTTCACTTGCCGTAACTGGGCTTCGATCAAGCCAAACGTTGTGAGCAAATATCTTGCTTCGATTTATGTTTGAGAGAAAAAGGAATTTGGGTGGCTAATTCGGTATATTTGAATGTGTGTGGATTTATGTGCGAAATGAAATAGGAGGGAAATCCTGTAGTGATCATTTGTATATCTGCATTAAAGTGTGTGTGTGTGAGAGAGAGAGAGAGAGAGTCACAAAGAGAAAGTTTCAGTGTTGTCTAAGATTGCCAACTGACCGTAACAAAACAGCCGACCCTGCTGTTCTGCATTTAGTAGCAGCCCCTGGTGCAGAAATCCAGTTGTTCAAGGCGCACCAAGAGTGGCCTGCTGGGGAGTCAGCAACCTGAGAAACGTCCCTGTTGCTGTGCGAGAATAATTAGTACGCCCAAAGTATGCTCTTGTGTTTGGATCACCTTTTTATTCAAACGTCATTTTAACTGTTAATACTATTTATTTATTTTATTCTTCGGCCAGGGCGACTTATTTTATATTTTATCTTGTTAACTTGTTTTATATTTTTATTATATTTTATTATATTTTAATTGATATATTTGTGAGCCGCCCCGAGGCTTCGGCGAATGAGGCAGCATAGAAATTGTCTAAATAAATAAATAATAAATAAACAAGGGCCAACGCTTCATTTGAGGTCTCCAGCAGAGGCCTCGTAAGCTTCATGGGCCCGTAACCACCGAACATTCAACAGAGGTCTCCCAGCTTCATCCCCTAAAATTGCATGCCAGTGAGGCGGGGAAAGATGTGTTGCCGCACTCTTGAA